CTGAGCTGGCTGTCAGCACAGAGCCCGACGCGGGGCTCGAACCCACGAACCGCGAGATCATGACCTAAGCGAAAGTCGGACGCTTAACCGACTAAGCCACCCAGGTGCCCCATTTTTTTCTTTTTTCTTTTTCGTTTCTTTCTTTCTTTTTTTTTTTTATTTAGAGAAACCTCCCTTTTAGCAGATCTTGCTCTTACTTCACGGAGGAAAGACACACCATTATATTAAGACTCCCAGCCTTCCACCATCTGCTGCCACCATTCTTCTGCATTCTTGTCCATCATTTTTATTCTTCTCTCATAATCCTGCCTCATGTTCAAGGTGAATCCTTGCATATCTTCTCGGGTTCCTGTCCCCCTTTTGCTCTCAGGGGCATTCATATCTTTTTTCGGTCCTATATTTTCAGCCTCTTCCTCTTCACTGGATCCTTTTTGGCAGTAAATGTATATATATTAATTTTTAAAAACACTTAATTTTTTATAGCAGATTTAAGATTACAGCAAAATTTAGAGGAAGATACAAACATTTCTCATATACTCCCTGACCGCACACATACAGAATCTCCCCCATTATCAACACTCCTCTTCAGAATGGTACTTTTTTTTTTTTTTCTTTTTTTACCAACAGAGAACCTCCACTGACACATCATATCGCCTAAAGTCCATAGTTTACCTTAGGGTTTACTTTTGGTGTCACCCATTCTGTGAGTTTGGAAAAAACTTTAATAGCCTGTATCCATCATTATGAGTATTTTCATTACCTTAAAAATACAGAGTATTTTCATTACCTTAAAAGTCTTCTGTACTCTACCTGTTCATTGCTCTCCCTACACCCCCTAGCAACTACTGATCTTTTTTCTGTCTCCATAGTTTTACCTTTTCCACAATGTCATATTTTTGGAAACAATACAGTATGTAGCTTTTTCAGATTAGCTTCCTTCACATAGTAATATGTACTTAAGGCTCCTTCATGTCATCTCATGATTTGAGAGCTCATTTCTTTTCAGTGCTGAATACTATTCCATTGTCTGGATGGACCATGGTTTGTTTTTCCAGTCACCTACTGAAGCATATCTTGGTTGCTTCTGAGATTTGACAATTATGAATGAAGCTAATAAAGTTTCTATAAACATTCTTGTGCAGGTTTTTTTGGTTGGTATAAGTTCCTAACTTTTGGGCGAATACAAGAGAGCATGGTTACTGGCTCTTTTGATAAGAGTATGTTTAGTTTTGTAAGAAACTGTTTTCCATTTTTGGAATTTTCCAGAATGGCTCTACCATTTTGCATTCCCACCAGCAGTGAATGAGAGTTCCTGTTGCTCTACAGCCTCAGCAGCATTTAGTAATGTTAGTGTTGTGGATTTTGACCATTCTAGTAGGTAGGTAGTGGTATATCATTGTTGTTTCAGTTTGTATTTTTCTGAGGACATATGACAGGAAGCATTTTTTCATATGCTTGTCATATGTATCTCTTCCTTATTTATTTTTAAAAATTTAATGTTTATTTTTGAGAGAGAGAGATACACAGAGTGCAAGTGGGGAAGGGACAGAGAGAAGGAGACAGAGAATCCAAAAGCAGGCTCCAGGCCCTGTGCTGTCAGCACAGAACCCAATGTGGGGCTTGAACTCAAGAACTGTGAGATCATAATGTGATCTGAAGTTGGGTGCCCAACTGACTGAGCCACAGAGGCATTCTTATCTTCCTTTTTTTTTTTTTTTAATGTTTATGCACTTATTTTGAGAGACAGACAGACAGACACAGAGAGAGAGAGAAGGGGTAGAGAGAGAAAGAGAGAGAATCCCAAGCAGGCTCCATGCTGTCAGTGCACAGCTTGATGCAGGGCTCAATCCCACAAACCTGAGCCAAAATCCAGAGTCAGATGCTCAGCTGATTGAGCCACCCAAGCACCATATGTATAGTTCTTATTTAGGGAGGTGTCTGTTAATGTCTTCATCTCATTTTAAAATCAGTTTGGTTGTGTTCTTATTGTTGCATTTCCATTGATATTTCAACACAGTTAAATCTCTCACATGGTCAGCAACCACAACAACTGAAGCAGTAGCAGTAGCAGTAGCAACAAACATACACATACAATCCAAGCCCCAAACCCTCAGACTCCTCTCTTAATTCCACATCCATCTCTGCCTTATCTTTGTTTTTTGTCTTTCTCAGTGTAGAGGCCAAGGGCAGGCTGCCCCAAAGTGGGTTACTTTGGTACGGAGATTATTCTGAGCTGAAGGCACTTGAGACCCTATAGGCTCCAAAGAAAATTTTGTCCCTCCTTTAACCACACAGAAGAATCTTAATTGGGAGTCTTTCCTAGAATAAGGGTTATTAACAGAGGTGAATTTTATTTGAATGACCCATGTATATGGTAGGGCAAACATCTAATTACCAAACCTCTGTTCTTCTTATTGTGCGTGAAATGCATTCCTTTCCTTGGAAGTCCCAGACCCCTTCCCCCTTTCTCTTTAGTTCAGGATGACATGTATGTACCTCATCTTGCCTGTCTTTGGAATTTCCACATCTGTGGGGATTCCCTGTACATACATTATTAAATTTGATTTTCTCCTATTGATCTGTCTCATGTTACAAGTTCCCTTGAAGGGGATAGGAAATCTTGCTCCCTCATAGAGAAACTCATTGACTGGGTTGTCCAGAGTTGCTGTCTCCACTTCCCATGCACCTCCTCCTGAGGTGTGGCTTTTGTCTCCAGCCCTCTTTCTCTTCCAGCATCTCCAAACTTAGAAAATGGCAGCAGCATTCACCTAGTTGCCCTTGCCTGAAGTCTGGGAAGTAGTCTGACTCTGCCCACTTTGCTCACCTCCCCACATAAAATTAATCACCTGGTTCCATTGATTTGGTCACTGAGTCTCTCCCAAATTAATTTACCCACTTTTCCCCACTCTAATTGCCCTCTCCTTAGTTAATTTGGGAAGATATTATTTCTTATGTGAAAATGATGGGCAGGTTGATGTGCATTGCTTTGTGATGGGATCATAAAGACTTAGGGGTGCTAGTGACTGCACAGGCAAAAAATGCAGTTGCTGGAGAGTTCCTTGTCATTTCAACGTCCATCTTGTGTGGGTTTTCTGTTTGAAACAGTGACTTCTGCATCTCTCTGTTGGTTACCTTTTACTTCCCTGGCATTTTCCTCTCATTTATGAGGCACACCTCTGTTGTTCCTAGAAGTTCTGAGCTCACAGCTGTCCATTCAGTTCTGTGGTTGCGTCTTGGCTCTGACCCTCCTCAGCTATAAGAGCTGGAACAGACCATGGACTCTCTTGACTCTTATTTTCTTTATCCATAAAGTCACTGGCTTCCCCTAGACCAGTGGGTCTCCACCCTAGCTGCAAATTACCATCATTTGGGGGGACTTTTGGAATAATGACATTAGCATCCTGACTTCCCACCCTCAAAATTGTTTAAAACTCCCCTCAGAGATCTCAATGTGTAGACAAGGTTGAGAACCATTGACTTAATGATTTTAAAGGACCTCAGCTCTCCTGTCATTTCGTGTTTTTAGCCATGCCCCAATCCCAAGTTGAGATTTCCCTTAATGTTTTTACTAAGTTGGGAAGAAATAGCTGTGAAATTCCCCCCACCCCCTTCCATCTGCTGTTTGTTCTTATTTACATACGATGGAACCCAGCCCACTGATTTACAGTTCTGGTTCCCTACAACTGTTATTGAACTGAAAACATAGCTGAAAACTTATTAAACAGAAAAAAAAATTATTTTGAGCTTTGTGCCGACAATTCATTATAGAACCAAGGAAACATCTAAACTTTTCTTCTAGAATTAATGCTAAAAATGGATTTACAACCCTATAATCTCAAATGAAAATTTTAATTCTGGTGCCAAACCTAGTATTCTTTCTTGAATGTCATACCAAGAAAATCAAAGCATCTCTGCAAGGGAATGGAATTTTGCGAGGTTTGCACCCATATACAGGCAAGGCTTCCCCAGATTACCCTGTGTGGGCCTCTGAAGGCAAGTGTTAGAATCGCCCTTTTCCTCGTTCTCTCTGCTGATCCATAAACATGGGAAGAAAAGCCAGGGTGAACCCACCATCAGTGTGGGTGTGTGGTCTCACTGTTGAAACATTTTGAAATAGGTCTTTCAGAAGACTGCTCTTCTGGAGCACCCCCCTTTAGACCTACCATTTTAGATTTGAAATAACCTAAGACTTTTCTAAGCTTCAAGGGAATAGAGAGGAGATGAGGAGGATTATAGAAAACAGCCAAGCATTTGGTTTGACCACTGGAACTAAATTTGGGAAGAACTGGGGTCCTGACATAAGTCTGATTTATACTGGGGAAGTGTCCCTTGGGGTTTCCCTTTTAACAGTATCTCTTTCAACTGTTAACTCACTTTTTTTCTGCAATACCCGCCTGAAATACAAAGCCATGTCTTTGCTTGTCTCTCTCAAATCCTTATTAACTATTGAAATTTGTTGCCACCTTGTTAAGGATAGCTTAATTTTAAGTATAGAAAGGTCAGTTACTAGGTAGCCATAACCTATAGTGAATTCCTTTCCCCATGTAATCATTTTACAGCTGGACCATCAAATCATTCTCTGCAAAGGAATGATTCGTTATCTTCTAGTAATGGGGGACAAAGGGCATTTTCCTGGGGAAAGAAATGTTGCCAGAGCTTGGAGTCAAGGTGACATGAACCTCTTTCCCAGCATGTTTGGCACTGAACTATTTCTCATGGCTCAGAAAACCTTGTTTTGGGGCGCCTGGGTGGTTCAGTTGGTTAAGTATATGACTTAAGCTTAGGTCATGATCTCACTGTTTGAGGGTTCAAGCCTTGTGTCTGGCTCTGTGCTGACAGCTCAGAGCCTGGAGACTGCTTTGGATTCTGTATCTTGCTCTTGCTCTGCCCCTCCCCTGCTTGTGCTCTGTCAGTCTCTCTCAAAAATGAATAAACATTAAAAGAAAACCTTGTTTGAAGCTTCTTGGTTTTGACCCGTCTCTTTGGGTATTTCCTTATAGATGGAGGAATTGATTGAGGGTGTTCGCTGGGCCTTTATTGACATGCTGGAGAAAGAAAATGAGTGGATGGATGCAGGGACAAAAAAGAAAGCCAAAGAAAAGGTAAGGATTCCTTTTGATAAAACACTCTTTTTGTTTAATACATTTTCATGTTCAGTATTGTGTACTTGATTTAAAATTTTTTTATATTCATTTATTTTTTTCTTATGTTTTAATTTTTTGCTTACACTGTAATTTTATTTTTTAATTTTTAAAATATAATTTATTGTCAAATTGAATAACATACAGTGTGTACAGTGTGCTCTTGGTTTGGGGGTAGATTCCTGTGGTTCATCGCTTCCATACAACCCCAGTGCTCATCCCAACAAGTGCCCTCCTTAATGAAATGTTCATTTATTTCTGAGAGAGAGAGTTCATGTGAGTGGGGGATGAGCAAAGAGAGAGGGAGACACAGAATCTGAAGTAGGCTCCAGGCTCTGAGCTGTCAGCACAGAGCCCAACGTGGGACTCGAACTCAAAGCACAGGATCATGACCTGGTCTGAAGGTGGACACCTAAGTGACTGAGCCACCTAGGCGCCTCTTCTGTACCTGATTTTTATATTGACTGAACTGTTGACTCTGAATGACTCCAGAGTTAGATGTCTGTTTTGGGATGAATGCATAGATTTCATCATTAGGAGATAAGAGAAAGTAAGATCTGCCCTTTTCCTTTCTCAAACCGCATTTCCAACACCTTATAATGCAGCCTTGCCTCCTCTCTTAGTTGCTGTTTCTAAGAGCTGCATGGCCTGCTGCCCTGCGAATTTTGCCACAAGCCGTCATTGGCTGTGGCAGAATGCAGAGCAGTGGGGAGCCATGGGGAGCAGCTGGCAGAAAAGCCCTCAAGGCACAAAGAAGAAAAACCCTTACTGGCTGTGTGTCCTTCTGCTTTGTGCACAATGTACACGAATGTCTTCAGGAAGATCTTTTCCTGTAACCAAGCAGGTCTGCTTCCTAACCATCACTTACTTTGCTCTGATGATCCAAATAGTATGCTTATAAACTGCAGACCAGTGGTAGAGCATTGTGTCAGAAGACAAAAATGTTTTCTAGTAGAAGTGGACACTCGGTAGGCCTTGTGCAACAAGGGAGAGCAAGGAGTGAGAGAAGTATTTGGCAGCCATGCTAATACTAAAAACAAACAATCAGACCCATCTTGAACTCTAGGTGTTCAGATGGAGCTGAAGCTCAAGTGGGTAGGGAATCCCTGCTGCATTCTTAATGGATGCTGCTCTGTGTCTGGGAGACTCTGAAGTAGGAGCACTTCTTTATACATGTATTTTGAAAGTTTGCTGATGATAGTAATCCTCTGGGATGCCTAAATGCTCTATAGCTTTCTGGGCCCCTCCCCTGCAAGGTTTGATTTAGTGGACTGAAGGTGCAGTGTGAACATTTGTGATTTTAGCCAGTCTCCCTGGTGAGTTTTAGTGCTAGGCAGGCCTGGGGAACATGGCTCAGAGTCATTCTGAGTCATGCTGAGTACAGATATTTTTGCCCTATGGTCAAAAACCAGAGGGAGAGGATAGGGCAGTGAAACTACTTTTTATGATACTATAATGGGTGGATACATGTTGTCATACATTTGCCCAGACCAATAGGAAGTACAACACCAGGAGTGAATCCTAACGGTAAACTATGGATTCTGGGTGGTAATGATGTATCAATGTAGGTTCAGTGATTGTAACAAAAGTCTCAATCTTTTGGGGAATATTGTTAATGGGGGAGGGTATGCATGTGTCAGGGTGGGGTTTTATGGGAAATCTCTGTGTTTTCTTTTCAGTTTTACTGTGAACTTAAGTCTACTCTAAAAATATAAGGCCTATTAAACAGACAAAAAAAAAAAAAAAAACCCTAAGAGGGTAACATTCAGAGAATGCTTAGCCTTATTGAAATGAGAACATGCAGAGGCTTAGCAAGGGTATTTTCTAGAGCTTTACTACTCCAGAGATGGATAAATAGTCCCATAGATATTTTTCTCAATAGACATGAAAGGGATGTTCACTGTTTACAGTGAAGAAAAAACTTGGGTGGCTGGGGGTGGCAGGTGTTGGAAGAAGACAAAGGGGAAGTTGGATTTTTCCCCTCGAGAATCTGTCAGAGCTGTCTCAAGTAATGTGCGGCACAAGTGGATGAAGGCAGGAGCATGCGGGCTGTGATGAGAAGCTCTCCAGATGGTAGATGAAACTTTTGGCACCAACATATTATTGTTTTTTGAAGGCTTCATTTATTTGCTGTGTTAGCTTGTGATATCTGTAACACAGTTTGTCTTGCACTGGGCAATTGAGAGCTCAGAGCACTGAGGACTCTTGATCATAGCCTGATCCCTCATGGACTGAGGGTCACCTTTGTGGAGGGTGGAGTGGACTGATGAGGGGGGTGTGTGTGTGTGTGTGTGTGTTATGAATGGATAGATACCAGACGAATGTTCTGGGGACTGCAGTCAGTTCTTTGGGAAGTATGATTGGTTGCCTCAGGGGGAGATCTTCTGAGTGGCATAAAGGAGTGGGCACCTTACAGTTGGGTCTTCTAGGCAGGTGGCCCATGGATCCTTCTTGAAGGCACATTATTCTCAATTCTTCTAGTGTTAGGCATGTTCCTGTTTGCCCCTGAGTTCTCCAGTCTTCTATTTTATTTCAATGAGAGCTGTCACCTTTTCTTCTAAAAGTACTCTTTGAACACTCTGCTTTCTTTGAGCTGAGTTCAACCTGCCAGGAACTCAACTAGTTCCTTGACAGGTACAAATATCAAAGGGAATTTTCCTCCTGGATCTCACCAGGCTCCCTGAGTATGTCCTGTATTTCAGAGTTCAGGGACGTTACTTTAATAAAAGGCAAGAAAGAAGGAATGTTGTCCAAGAATTTTCAGCAGTGCTCCAAAGCATGTCAAGCCCTGGACCCCAGAAGATGCAGATTTTCTTTTTCCAAATTAAATGAACATGCAGTTCTGGAAATGACCTCTGGGCGGAGCTCATAGACTCATAAAGACAACATTTTAGGAAGCTGAAGGCATTTATGCAGCTTGCTGCTCTGGGGTTGTTTTTGAAAACTTATTTTTTTTTTCTTGCCCTTTTCCTCTGCTGTCCTCAATTTGATTGCCTTTTAATAGTCAACAAGAAAGGAGAGGTTCTGCCTACTAATTCCTTGAATCTTAGGTGGAAATCTCTGAAGATCTTAGGGCTTTGTCTTTCTGATACTGAGTAGCCTCTGCATTAAGACAGAATTTGCCTGCATTCAAAGTGGAGGTGAATAATTTGCCTGCTCTTCCCGGTATGACTTGGCACTGTTCTTTGGGCATGTGTTGTATGCAGTATATCACCCAGGCGGAAGATTTCTCATCAGTAATAGTGCCCACACTGGGCCAATGCTGAGTCACTTGGCAACCCATTGGGAAAGCTGGAAGAATGTTCGAATATGCGAATGGGAGCAGCTTTTCTTTCTCTCACCATGAAGCTCTGGACTGCAGCAAATTGCAGCACTGCCTATATTGGGTGTTGACCTAAGCAATCCCTTGTACCAGGCCTCCTGAATGGGGAGGGTCCAGATACCTACAGTGGGTTGAGGCCTAACACCTTGACTTGTATGGCAGTGACCATGGTTTCAAAATGGAAGTGTTGTGATGTGACTTTGTCGTGTTCTTCACTAGGGGTGATACTGTAAAAGATAAACGAGGATGCCTTTGCCCCTTTGAAGGGTGAATTTGTTATCTCAGTCTCCCTGCCTTTCCCCTCTGATCTCTTAAGAAGTCATGAGTTGTTTAGTATTGTGAAACTGACAGTGTAGGTTTCAATTGGAAATTTAATATCATGAAATAGGCACCAATTTTTCTTTAGGATTCTGTTTTCTGCAAGCATATGCTTTAACTGTAAACTAGCAGCAAAGGATAGGAAGCCTGTTATTTTTTCAGTTATCATAGATGTGGAATGAATGTAAGTAAAGTGATACAAATTATTTTGGGGTATGTCTTCTGAAATATTTGCCTTTTCAGAATAGAGTACGAAGATCTCAAGGTCACTACCTAGCGATTCTGAGGCCTGGCAGGAAGGGATACAACACTGCCTTTGGCTGTCCTAGTGGCAAGAGCAGGGCTTCTGCTGGAGAGGTCTGTGTCAGATCAGGAGGAGCAGCTTCCTGAATTCACCTGGTCCCCACCTAGATTGAATTCTGTATCCAAAAACTGGATCCTTCCTGAAATACTTGTTTGTGCTCTTTACTCTTTGGATCTATGTTTGCCTGGCTACCCCTCGAGGAAAAGACCTGGATTGAACTCCTAGGAAGGCAGTATCCTTAAGATACTGTGAGTGACCTTAACCTTGGCCAAAGTAGGTGCAGAGGGTTCCTGAAAGTATACTGCATGGTCCCATGTCCACAGGCATGTAACTCTCAGGCACAGGCTTTGAGCAAGGTGGGAAGAGTTTTCCTACAGAGGGCCAAACAAAAGTGTATTTCAATACCTCTTTGGCTTTGACTCTTTCGGGGATGAAAAATAGTCTTTTCTTGTACCCTTCTAACTACTTGACTGGGCTCCCTGTAGCAAAGGATATATTAATGAGAGAAAATCAAACTGAAGTTTATTAACATGTATATCTCATACATACATTAGAGAAACTCAGAAAAATGAATAACTCAAAGAGGTGGCTGAGAGCCCCGGCTTACATAGATAGCATCTTTAACAAAGAATACTAAATTTGCAGTGAAATGAAAAAGGAAAGAGGTTTTAGACTTCCAAGGGCAGCAGATTATGGGAAGGTAAATATATGAGAAACAAATGGTAGACACAGGCTAGTTAGTGAAGTTTGTTTCATGGTCTACTCTGGTGCTGTCTTTAGGCTGATAGTCGTCTTTGGTGACTCATCTTTGTCCTTCTTGGTAGAGAAGGCAGAGGTGCATTAGAGATGCAAGTTCCTGGGTCACCCCAGACCTGCTGAGCCCTGGTGTGGTGGTAGGAGGCCCAGTGCCATGCCATTACCATTTCATTGCACATCTATCTGACCTCCAGCTATAGGCGCCTGCACTTTGCCCAAGAGCTTTCTCTTACCATTGGAACCTGCTGTGCCACTCATACA